GCCGCCCCAGCAGGGGTCGGCGGATCCTTTCTTAGAAGTCGGCTGGTTTCTCCGATGCTAGGCTGCTTCTTTCCTCGTGATGATGATTAGTTTCTTTGTGTGCTTGACACTGGAGATAGAGTGCCTGAGATAGCTTTGCACCGACTCACCTCGTCCTAGGAAGCTCTTTGCTGGTTCACTGCCAGCGCTCAAGGAAGTCTGTATCATCGTCGCCTGGATTGTCCGAGTTGGGACCCTCTAGACTCTAAACCCTAGAGTACCGCAATCTCGGAGTCTGTGAGTCGAAAGTACCGCAACTCGTTGCAAAGGCGCTGAGAAGCGTGGCTGTGGACTCGGCAGCGGCAATGGGACTCCGTGCTGCCAAGGCGGCACTCTACTTTCGAGCCAACGAGGACCTGGAGAAACTCGGACTGGTCTCCAAGTTCACCTTTCTTATACAGGTAACGGTTGAATGAGGTATCTACATTGTGCTGTATTGTGCTGGTAAGTTGGTAAGGCTGGTAAGGTTTCCTCCTGGGCCTGCGGGCTCTTTCCTCTAAATCAGGTAACTTCATAAGTCTACCTTGTGTTGGCAAACCGGCAAATCACTTTCTCGGATGGGTGCCCGCAACGGAACTGGAGATTCTGAGGACCTTGCTGGTCTCGCAGATCTGCGCTGGCCTTGGCGCAGGTGCTGCCGGAATGTACCCAGGCACCAGAGCCGCCTGAACCACCTCCACTCTGCCATCCTCGGCTGTTCTCTCCCTGCCTATTCTTCTTTGTAGGTGACGGCCGGCCGCGAGGGGAGATCGAAACCTTCGTGGCCTCAGAGGGCCACGTAACCGGCACCTCAGCAAAGCTCTGTGGCACTGCACAGCCCTCATCCGGGCATTCTGTGATGGGACAGGCTGGCATACGGACTTTCAGCACAACTTCACCTTCCAGCTCAGGTTCATCTGCAAAAGATGCGATCCCATTTACCCAAGCCAGTTGAGCTCAAGCACGCGACTGCTGTATGGCAGGGGCGCGAAGCGATGGCGATTCAAAGCAGGGCCTGTCAAGAACAACGTGCGCGCACTGACGCCGCACTTCCAGTTGGGGGCTGAGGATCGCTGCGCAGAAGTTTGCGTTCACAGAGAGTGTGCAAGCATTCGGAGTCGCTGGCCTGCAACTGCTGTGGGAGAGTGTCCTGCAGATGCAAGGACGCGGTCCAACTTTGAGCAGCAGATGAAGCTCCATTTGCTGAGCGAACTTCATCTGCGCTGGAAGCTTCTTTTTTCCTTGGTACCCACCCAAAGCGCTCGACTGGTGACACCCCCCAAGCCGGCGCGATTCGAATCGCCCAGGACCCCACCGAACCGGTTTTCCGGCCGCCAGACGACTTCTTTGCTGATGCGGAGGAGGTAGAGTTGCACGCCGGATCCGTGCTTTACCATCCTGCTGGGATTTGGCATCATGTGGAATGCTTGGGCGAGGCTTTTCAAACATAGAATCGTTTCCCTCGCACACGTACGCAGGCCCACCAATGCAGACCCTTCGTGGATGCTGAGGAAGAGAGTATCTCAATCAACGTGTCGCTCTCCATTGCCACCTGGGCTGACTTGGAGCCTTGCCAAAACAGGCTATGCCGAGAGAGACTTCGCGGTCCTGGATCCACAAGAAGAAAGGAGCTCAGGTCGGCGATGCCGTGCGTCAGCTTCTCTGGGCTTCGCCCAGCCTGCGGCAGCCTCTGGTGGGTTTGGACTCTGTGGATCCATCGCGTGTCCGACAAGCTGAGCCTCGGACCGTCAATGAGCGCAGTTGGACACCTAACTAAACCCTAAACCCTATGTGAGAGCGTAAACCCTAAACCCTAAACACCCGGCGAGAGGGAAAAAACACCCGGAATGCGGGACTGAAGGTGGGCCAGAAGCTGAAGGAAGCAAAGCGGGACTTCAGCAAGTTGACAGCTGAAGACCTACTTCCCGCAGTCATGCTCGAAGCGCCAAGGCCCGACAGTTAACTTGCGGCAGTCTGACCATGTTCTAGCGCTTATTTACCCACAACATGCGCGTGGCCTTGGTCGAACGTTTTCTCCGGAGGCTGCCCTCGCGCATTCACCTGAGCAAGTCTCTGCTCGGAAAGGATCTGTACGTTGAGCAGCTTGGTGCTTTTCAAACTTGCAGTGTGTTAGAGTGAGAATGTGACACATTAACATCGATCATAGATACGATAGGCTTGCGACAATAAGAACAGTGATGGTAATCATTATATTGTCATAAAATCATGAGAAAACGATGGTGAAAAGAAGAGACCTCTCAACTGCCCTCACCAGGCAGGCGCAGAGCTTCCGCTTCGGTCAGCTCGCCAGCCTGGTGGAGCTGCCGGAAGAAACCGACTCCGCCTCTGACGAGGCGCAAAACCAAGAGGGTGCCCAAGGGAGATATGACATCCCCTGTGACTCCTTCGGATTTGAGGAGCTCCCCAAGAATGCGAGGAGGTATGCCTTGCATATCAACTTTGGCAACGAGGACGCCGTCACAGGGGTGTTGCTCATCCCGGTAACCCCCGAGACGAGAGCGGCCCAGAGGGAGCAGACCAATCGGCAGGACGTGGGCTCGTGGATTCGTGTGGTGCTCGTGGCCCCAAGCCCGGCCCTCCGCACTGCGATGGCATGGCTTGGCAAGCGACAACTTGCCGCACGCTTGGTACTTACAGCTCCGTTTCTGGACTCCGGGCTCGGCCGGAGCTACTGAGAAGTGTGATGTTCGCATCCTAGACACGACATGGCAAGGACGATTCGAGCAGTGATGTTGGCTTCTGAGGCGCGGGAGCCCGCAACGTCTGTTTCAAAGCCAAGGAGAGCCTTGGCGAAGTCGTGACGGATCGTTTCGAATGTGCTTTGCAGTCCGACGGGCAGGAGCTGGTCCAGGCATCGGGGCTGAGCTGGACGCAGACGACAAGGTAAAGTCACGGCTGTCCGGAAACGTAGCTTTCGAGACTCACTCGGATGCATGGGTGCAGGCTGATTCGGGTCTCGACCTCAGCCTCTGGCAGCAGCATTCGTCGTCATCAAATTTGTAACTATGTGAGACTGGTGCGACACGAAACGGAATAACAATTACCCTTGAGCACGCTTTTGTACAGATGCTATCGCGATTGCACTCGATGTGGCGAGCACCACCTCATAGGTGCTACGATACTGCGGCTACATCCACCTCGAGAAGTGACTCTGCCAGCGAGAGCCGTGGAGAGTATGGCGCCGAGGAGCCCAGAAAACTCCGCTCGGCCGCTCGGAGGAGAGCCTGGAGCAGAAGCCGCGGAGGCCGGAGATGAAAGGCGCAGGCGGCGCAGGCGGAGCAGGCTGCGCAGCGGCTCCTCCGGGCGGTGCTCTGCAGATGCGGGCGGGAAAAAGTCGGCATCGCCCAGTTGCTGTTTGTGGGGTGGGGGGGGGGGGCGCGGAGCTGTAGAAGCTGCACGTAGCATGGCTCATGGCACGAGCTTTCCGCGGCCGTGCTCGAGCTTCTATGGGGGCCACGCTCCGCGGCTCGGGGCCATGGGGCCTGGAACTCGGACCCCAGACATCCTACGGCCGACTTTTGATCCAATCACAAGGTCTGGAGGCTCCACGGATTCAAAGAAAAAAGGCCGGCTGACTGCAGCATGCAGCCCGTGAGTGTTGACATGTGGACGGTGCAGCGGTTCGCCTTCCGAGGTGAAGAGAAGTACAAGCCGGAGGAAGATGCCACGGCCAGCGCGGAGGTGGCGCAGGCTGCAAAACCTCGACGCTTGAAGAAGGCAGGAAGCGCTCGCTGGGCCATGCTCAGCCATACTCTTGAAACTGAAGCGGTGTGAAGACTGGTCGCTTACCCGTGCATCCATCGCAGTCCCCCTAAATCCATCACAGGCTGCAACTCGAGCGCGGCTCGAGGACTGACCACATGTTTGCCTAAGCTGGCGGGATGCTGTTTTCAGTGCCTCGGGTGTATGCAGGAGCGCAGCACTTCACCTCGTCACTGGCCTGCAACGGGTGACAACGTACGAGGGGCAGGAGGAGGAGCCGCAGCAGTACCGAAAAGTAAGACAAGTAAGAAGTAGTTTGTGACTCTTCAGAGACGCCATGCCTCCCAAGCATGCTCAAGACTAGCTTTTCAGGTGTGCGGGTATTGCATGTCGTGTTCCGTAAGGTCCCCCAGATGCCGCAGACAAGGAGCCCACGGTTCCGGCCACTGAGGTCCAGAAATTTCATGGAGCTTCGCCCAGTCTTTATGGCACATGCGCAGACTCAAAGTGTGCACCCTGTGGCCAGGTGCGTCCTTGCGACAGCTGTGGTGAGATGAGAAAAACAACCAACTTTTCCCGTGGTGACGAGGTGCCAGGCTTAGTCTTGCACTGCAAGCGGCATTTTGAAGAATTGCACAGGCTCGCTGTGGTATCTTAGACTGTCATGCGACAGTAGGTGCTTCGTAAAGAAGCGGGTTGGGGGGTGGGGGTAGGGTGCAGCACTCGCATCACTAAGTCCCAATGGCTTTGTGCCGCTTGCCAGCTCACCAATGGAGGCTTGGTTCAGGGATCCTGGGAGTTTTGGGAGACTTTGGACGGAGAGAGCGCGAGAGACAGCCTCCTTGCAATGCACGAAGAATGGTTCTGCCTGCAGACGCGAGGTCCACGGTCCGCCGAAGAGTCAATCACAGGAGAACGAACTCAAGCACATCTTTTCTTTCTCCTCATAAACCGAGCAACGACGACTTCGTTTCTTGTCCTGTGCAGAGTGGTATAGGATGTCATGGGCATGTGGCCCGCACCCAAAGACCGGACAGACAGACTTGTCGAGCCTGAGGACACTAGTTGGTTCAAGGGGAGCCGAATGGCTACGTGTTCCGAGTGTTGCGCCCATGGACGTAGCCTCCGTCTCGCCAGGTTTGGCCTTCGGCGCAAGACAAAAGCAGAAGAGGCTTTCGGAGGCTGTGTACTCTCGAAACGATCTGCGCTGGTCGCCCTGCCAGGCTCAACGCGACCTCAGCGCAGTGCGCTCAGCGAGCAAGCATCTGCATGAGATGTTGCCGTTGACCTTGCTCGTGCGAAGCACCAAGGTTGAAGCCGCAACCTGTGTTTAGACGGCAGAACAGTGACAAGCAGCTCAGGATCAGGGCTTGCATGCAGGGTTGTAGTCCGATGTAGTCCGAGATGGAAGTGATGGAACCATGAGGCATGTACGCAGACAAGCAAGGTACAGCTTTAGCCTGGCTTGGCAGGAGCAAGCTGAGTGTCTTCTCGGATGATGACAGCGAAAACAGATCAAACATTGGAAGGGAGAGAAGGCCCTTTTGCGACCTACCCCTCGTTCGGACTCGGGGATCTGTCAAACAATGCGTGTCGGTCGCAGGCGCGGCAGATGTAAGACCAACAATAACGACGCTGGCCGTGAGCTGAGATTGAGTGGGTCATGATGTTTTCTGTTTTGGATGCGCGACTTTGTGGAAGCGCCCGGACAGGTCTAGCGAGCAACAGCATGGAACCCAGCCATTCCGTCCAACTGCAGTCCTCGTTGTTTTCCCAAGCTGCCCTTATTGAATGCCGAGGCCTGGCACCCCCAGATGCTGACAGCGGCACGCATCAGTCCCAGCAAGACCTGCTGCAAGAGCCCACGGAGCATGATTAGTACGAAGTCAAGGTTTCTCTGTTGGATTCAATGCACGCAACAGCACACTCCGCCCCCCCCCCCCCCCCCCCACCATTGTTGCAGCAACCGTGAGGCTGCAACAGGAACGACTTTCGGCCAACTGACACCTGCGAGGCCGCAGAGAAGAGCAAAGCTGATGCGGGCGAATACCGCGAACCTTAGCGGTATTGGCAAGGGGCGAGGAGCTCAGAGCAGCGACTTGGTCGACAGCTCCCATAGGGTCCTAGCCGTCCCAGCCCTGGGCCATGCTTAGGAGCACCGTCAGCAGCGAAGGGAGCCAGGCCACAGCCCGAGGGGCACTTGACACCGTCTTGGTCCTTGGTCTTGTCTGGACGAGGGCTTCCATCCTGTCACCTGACGTTTCCGGCAGCTGCTTTGCTCAGCCTGGAAGCGTTTTGCAGCACAAGCTCTCTCTAGAGAAGCAATGTCGGAGGGAAAGGCGAGGCGCAAGATCACCGTGGCCCCTGGTCCTGCAATTCAGACACGGGCTTGATGCGAGGATGCAAACCATCATGTGAATGCTTCTAGAGGCCGAGCTTGAAAAGCACAGCTCCGAAGACAATGCATGGATGGCTGTTCATGGCTTGGTGCTGAACCTCTCCAAGGCCCATTCAGACCTTTCATCGTGGTTTTGTCGAGTAACAGGAAGTGTCGACAAACAGGGAACTCACGCGCCAGGATTTCTTGGACGAGCACCCAGGAGGCCCGGACGTAGTGACAGCGCTGGCTGGCAAGGACCGAACTGCAAACGATCCACGCCGACGATGACAGTCAGTAGCCAGACTGAGCCAGATAGATGGACATATGGCATTGCCGACAGTGATCCGTGTGGCAATTTGTCAAACACCGACATCGATGAAGATGCTAGCTAGGGCTGTTCAGCGTTTTATAGCAAGAGGCAGGGGAACGAGACACCGAAGCCAGCAGCAGCAACCATAGATCCCAATTCAACACCGCCTTTTGGTCTGCTTACAGAAACACAATGGACCGAGCGCCATGCCAAGATGCAACGGCATTCGGAAGCTTCTCAATCAAAGGCAAAGGTTGCGAGCAGCAGCAGCAACAGCAGCAGCAACAGCAGCAGCAACAGCAGCAGCAACAGCAGCAGCAACAGCAGCTGCGACAGCGGCAACACCAGCTGCAACAATGCTAAACTAGCGAAGAACTGCACTAAGTTGAATGCCGGCGGCAACACCAACAAGAGCTGTTTTTCCGTCAGTCATTTTTCCGCCAAAATGCGCAAATGAAAGCGAGCCTGGGTATGATGAAACGTGGCTTTGCAGTTACCTTGCAGCCTGCAGGATGGCACACAGGACTTCGAGGACATCTCGCACAGCGACAGTGCTCGAGACTGGGCCAGCAAGCTTCCCGACTGCATGCTGGAGGCGTTGTAAAAGGTCGAAAAAAGGAAGCCGTAAGAGGTGAAGCTGGTTGTAGATTGGAGATGGGTGGCATCTATATCAGCAGAAATCATATCATATGCCAGCTGTGTCAGCATTGATGTTGTTCGCTGGCTCCCTAAAGGTTGGCCGCTGGAGGGCACTCGTTAGAATTGAAAATCGCATTGTACGGGTGGGTACACCATTGAGTGCCAGCCAACCACGATCGAAGCTTGCGGGAACCTAACTAAGGCTGATCATTGGCTACATGGAGAGTGCTGCGGATGAAGAGGGAATCCAAACAAAGCTTGTTCCCAAGCATGCTGAAGCAGCAGCGAAATCCGGAGCTGCGGGTGGTTTGGGAGCCTTTGTGCCTGCAGTGCTGGTCCTCGCGCTGGCAGCAGCAGCCTATTTCTTCTTGAACAAAGCCTGAAGAAGCGCAGGGAAAGTGTGAGGGCATTTTTCGCGACGAGCCACCCATTTGCGTCTCTCCCGCGAGGTGTGGCCAAACGTCGCTCTTGTAGCTAAGCCCCTCCTGCACGTACAGTGGAGTTGCTCGCAAGAAAAAAAGAGATGTTCTCGACAGCGCTAGCTTTGCCAACCAGCCCGAAACCTTGTCGACGGTCCATTGGCCGCTGGCTTCCCTGAGCCCCGGTGGAGGCCATGGAAGCGAAGGAAGTCTTGACGAGCGCAGGGGGGCCCAAAGAGCTGAGCAGAGCAGCTCCCTGCAAAGCAGTGCCTTCTTCCCTATATATTATATATTATGTAATATAATATAGTATAGTATAATATAATATAATATAGTATAACTGAGAGGTCAAAGAGCCCAAGGCCGGTGAGCGGAAGAAGGCCAAGGGGAAGGGGCTTCCCCGTTTGGAAGGTCGTGAGGGCGCTGGCTTTGGAGTCCTTTTCTTCTTGAGGCACCCGAGAAGCCTGGGTCGGCAGAGCTTTCCGACGGAGAGGGCGTCAAGGCCTGACTTCTTGTTTTTGCTTTGTAGGGGCCTTTCACCTTTGGAGAGAGTGGTGTGGCAGGTGCCACCGCTGCCTCAGCGGACGTTGCCTGGCGGCTTCACAGTAGGCGAGAGAGCGGCGCTTCCGGCCACGTTTCCTCCTCGAGCCGCCTTTCTGGGTCCTGCGCTGTCCTGAGCCTCGCATCCCTCGCATCCCTCACATGCCAGGTGACGCTCATTTCTAGAGAGGCACCGAATCAGACGATGCCCCGGCATGTCTTCCGCACCTGAAGAAGGGTTGAGCCTTTGTACGCCCCCTGCAGCGCTGGGTCATGTCAGGCTCATCATGGAATTGGGCCAAGAGGGAAACATTGTCGGTGCAGCTTGCAGCTGAGCACTATGGTGGCCGGTCAAGTGGTCATGCAGACTCTTGTGAACCCCGAGGTGGAGCGTCGCTTCGGAGGCGAGGTGGACCTCCGCCTGCTAGCTGGGCACCCGGAAATGCAGATGAGAGGCATCGTGTGTTAGGGCCTGCTAGGGGCTTAGGGTGTTCACTTGTGGTTTTGAGTATCATGGGGTGCGGTGTGGGTGATGTCCGCTGTGTGCACAAAGGTCCAGTTTCCTCGTGGAGTTTGTTGGTGCTGCCGGCGTGAAATTTAAATCTTGAGCCAGAGTTGCTTTCGGCCGATTGAAGCTGGCAAGACAAGCGGCAAACCGCGGCAGGTGGCTCTCGCCGCTCCAGATCAGCCTGCACCTTAACCTCAACATCTCGACAAGTCGATCCACCGCGGTGCCAGTCCTTTTCCTGTCAGATGAGACTTTCTGAGGTCAGCCTGCTCAATTTGGTGCAGCGCGCGCTGCCGGAATATTTGGATTCAACTGGGGTAGCCGGGCAGGGGACTTGGAGAATCGAGATGTTTCGTTCCCAGACTTCAGGCCGCGCGGTCCTTTTTCCACTCCAAGGTGAAGTCTCTAGTGACTTTGCTGAACCCGCCCGCCGAGCAGCCACACCAGGTGGGCCTTGGGAGCAAAGATGTCTCGCCTCACTGCTTTCAGCTTTGAGAGACCGCTTTGTGTTTCGCTTTTCGACTTTGGCTCTCAAGTGCTTGGGCCCAGTGCAGCCTGCAGAGCCCGGGCAGAGTGAGTCGGGATGAGGAGGTGCCCGAGATGCAGAGATGGCATCCACCTTTGAGGTCTACAACCTCCGCAGTGGGCAGTCCACTCCGACGCCAGGCCGCGAGAGGGTCTCGCGGATTGCAGGCCAGTGGTTCAGCCAGCCGCGGCCCTATGTACAGAAGGCTGGCATCCGGGCTTATCAGCAAGCTCCGATTCACCTTGGCATGATGCACCCTCCACAGTCCGAGACTGTTCGAAGAGACCTCCTTGAGTATTTGGAGGCCAATGGAATCACGAATCCGCAGCCGCGGATTCCGGTGAGCTCCAGTGCACCGGACCTGCGACCAAGGGCCGTTCCACGTTGGAGGCCAAGCGGCCTCACCCCTGTTCGGCAACCAAGCTTGGGTGTGCTGCCACCGGACCCTCAGCCGCGGTCACCGCGATCCTCGCACAAGCCTCGGAAGCAGCCGTCCCGCCCAGCGCCGAAGATCCTCCACCTGCGACCGCCCAACGAGACCGTCGATGTCACTCGCTTGATACGAGCATGCGGGAGTTTTGTGGCTCTGCGTGCATGTATGTACGTATGTATGTATGTACGTACGTATGCATGTATCTATCTATCTATCTATCTATCTGTCTATGTATGTATGTATGTATGTATGTATGTATGTATGTATGTATGTATGTATGTATGCATGTATATGTGTGTCTAACATAATATATTATACGTTACATATTATACACTCTGTAATTAGTCTATATTCTTTATTCTGTGTTGGTATGTGTATATATATATATAGAGAGAGAGAGAGAGAGTATGAGTATGTATTTATATTAGAATGTTCTATACTATCTATCAAAAAGTTCAATCGCCACATTTTGTACTACAAATGATGTATTGTATAGTGGAAATTGTAATAGATATGTATTAATAATATTATATATCTGCACATGACGTTATGTTGTGTTGCATGGTGTTAGTTTACATTTTTTACATACTATATACAACCTAACTATCTAAGTATCTATCCATCTATCTATGCATCTATGAAGTTGTCATTTATCTATCTATCTATCTATCTATCTATAATACATTATGCGCCATAAGAAAAGTATATGCACATGTGCAGATCTCTCGCTGTCTTTTCTGTCTCTCTCTCCCTCTCTCTCTGCCCGTCTCTGCCTGTTTCCACTTGTATTCAAATGTGGCACTCGTCGCGAGTATTGTGCTGCTATGCTGCCTGTGCGCCCTTTGTTGTGGTGCTCACTGCTGAGGTAATGCACAATAAGGAGGTCAGGAGAAAGAGCTTCTCGCTGCCCGGTGGCGCTCTGCTGCTGTCCCACATTTAGCAGAACAACGCCTGCACTGTGTCGCACCACTCGATTGAGTTGGTCCGTCTTCCGCCTTCACCAAAGTCTCATCAGCTGTCGTATCAATTGCTGCAGTGCTGTGCAATCAGTTCTCAATGGTATGTCGGATTGGTACGCAGAGTCAGAGACCAAGCGCTGGAGGCTTGCTTGTAACACCATCATTGCACAGGTTCTGGCAAAGCCAGCCTGGCCAGCAGGTACTGCCCGAGTGACGAAGTCATGCGGGCTCACCTAGTGCAATTCCAAACCGATGTGTATCATATGGACAGAAGACATGGCGAATGCTCGAGTGGAGCGTGCTATTATTGAAATGTGCGAAAGGTGCATACAGGCATGGACCATGGGGCAATGACAGGAGTTGTGGCTGGGCGATGAAGGTACGGTTCGGAGCTGACATGGGCCACAGAAATATGCATGATCAGCATGCGAAGCCAGTCATGCCACAGGGTGTCATGTGGAGCGAAGTAGTGATGAGGTAGTCGGCCCATCCGTGGTCAAAGGCAAGCTCGCTGTCCGTGGATTCCTCAGCCAAGCTCAGCCAGTCAACAGCACGGTGCGATTCTCTAATTCTAGCGAAGTTGCCTGCGCTTTGCAGCGACCTAGGCTTTGACAACGGCATCGGCGAGTGGAGCATATGGCCCTGCCTCGTTTGCAAGACGGAGGCTTGGAGTCTAATTGCTTTCTGCGGCAGAGCTTCAGACGTTCCGGCTTGCACTGATGCCTCAACGACATGCATGCACCTACACACGTGTCAGTGCTATGAGAGTCCGGTAGATACATCGCATTTCCTGAAACATGATCGCGCAAAGATGCTTGAGTCAGTAGTTGGCTTAGTTGTGCACCAGCATGGATGGCTTGGCTGCTCGAAGAGCACGGAAACCTAGGGACTCAGAGGCCGTACAATCCTTAAAGGGGTAGTTCTCTAATTAAAATGGGGGTCCCTTTCGGGGTCCTTTTTATACGGGTGCCGTACCATCTTGGGGACCTACAAAGGGACCCCCGATGTAGAGAACCACCCAACACCCTATCAGAATGCATTCCAAGCATGGGAAGCAGGCCTATGAGGAGACCATTCAAGAAAAGGTCCAGGGTTTTGCTCGGGGCGACCGCGTCCGGGTGCTCAGAATGACACGGATCTACTGAGTGCTAGATAGCGATTGCTGGATCGGATAGGGATGGAAGGAAAGATGCACTGTGGTATTGGTCCATGCATCTCTGACACTTTCAGGGCAGCAATCAATGTTTTTTGTTCCGAAAGGTCCGAAGCTTGGGCCAAGTCTTCGGCTCTCGCAGCTTTGACGCCAGACGCCCTGGAAGTTGCTTGATTCTGGAAGAGTCGTGGCTTTGCAGATCGCTTTTTCAAGGAGACCAGGCTAGCGGTGGCGGAAGGAGAAGAGGGCACCGTCGCAGATCTCTCAGCAAGAAATCGGGGGCAACCAGAGATTTGGTGACAGAGAGCTGATGAGGTCGGACCTGGTCATGCTGCTGGCAAGGCCGTAGATTGACGAAGCAAAAAAAATGCGCTCGAAATCGATCGAGTCTGTCGTATTTCGTCTGTTTTGAGCAGGTCCTGGTGCACTTCGACGCTGACGATCGAGTCTGGAGTCTGGATCCGAAACAACTGGCCACGACCTTAAACATCGGCTTTCAAGCACACAAAAATAGCCTGACCCCTCATGACCAGGAATCTACATCGAGCTGTTTATAACGAGTATTGGACGTCGCGCCGTCCTCATCCCTAGGCAGCCGAAGCGACTCCTGCATGCCAAGGGTGATGTTGCCCCGAGGTGCGCGTGGCGCCTTTGACTTTGGTATGCTGGATGACCCTTCAGCTGCCAGGCATGTAGAGTTCTGCCCCAAAGGCCTGACTTGAGCAAGTGGTCTAGTTGGTTTCTTTGCAGGGTGGGGCCAGGTGCCCGCCAGACACCAGAATTTCACACACTTCCACCCAATGCATAGTAGCCTGCCCTGCAAAGCTGCCATCTGCCATTTTAAAGCTCGCAAGATGGGAAAGCTCATTCTTGCCTGCCTGGCACTCAATACGTGACATCTTCCGTTTGTGTGGAACTCTGCTGTTCAGCAGTGTAAGCGTGCTCTCGGCAACAAGCTTGACTTACGTACCTGGCGCTACACTGCTGTAGGGCCCCCGACTACATCAAGGAAGCCGATTACTAATGATCGTTTGATCGGAGACTCAGCAGCAATCACTCAGACAGGGATGCTTCCCACGCTCCAGCAGGATAATGCACGCGGCGTGCCGCGAAAATATTTTGCTGACTGGGTTAAACTCAGATCGGCGACTTGGTGACAGCCTGCGTTAGCGCAGAACCTCTGTAACATCTGACGCAGCGTCTGGCCAGAATCCGGTGAGGCAGTCGCCCACTTGCAACCTCGCCCGAGAGCAGCCGCAGATTTGTGCAACTATGACTATGGATCGCTGCCCGAGCCCCTGACCTGAGACTAAGAGTTTAACCCAAGACTGCCAAGGACACGGTCAGTGCAGGAAGTTATGTCTTCGACAGTCTGCAACTGCAAAGCAGTCAGTTTCACATCCGCCCAACATTTCTGAATATTTACCGGCTGGAAGGTGGCATGAAGAAGCTCATGGGCAATTCTTTCCACTGGTGGAGTAAATTTTGCCTTCCAGCCAGATGTGCCAGATTTGCCAGCTGCTTGCAAGAAGTGTCCAAGCTTGCAGAAAGCATGCATCTGGGCAGAACCAGAACAAGCAGGGCCGTAGTTGGACACTTTTTTGAGTCGAGGCAGCCCACAGGCGGCAGGAGCGCCATTCCTTAGTGTTGGTACCCGCTCAGTGCCAGCATGTACAGCAGAATGACTCCAGCGATGTCGCATGGTGGACTTGTTCGGTTGTAGGCACGAGAGCAGAACTGTGCAGAAGGAAAAAGCACGCGATTGAAGCCTCGACATCAGAGACGCCTTCAGCTGGTTTGTATGGCATGCAGACGGCAACCAAGTGCTGTAAACGAGCGCGCATCTCAAGACGTCTCAAGTTTGGGTAAGTCACAGTCAACATGTTTCTGATCAGCACGCCCCTACCCATGACGAACCCTGAGTGTGCACAGCCTGTGGGACGTCGACGAAGATTTGCAAACCTACGTGCACCTTGCAACTAGTCTGCCAAGAGCGGCGTAAGCCCATTCCTTGGCTCCCATGCTCCTGAATAGGTAAAAAATAAGAACCATAAGGGAAATATTGAAGTTTCCAAAACCAAACAGCCCAAGTTGTCCTGTAGGGTTCCTTGCAGGGCCCCGTTTAAGGGCTCCTTTTAAGCCCTGAGCACAAGCAGCAAAATGGTCGCGACAGCCTTAGCCGGGCCTCCACCGGTGAAGCGACGCGTGGAGCTGCCCCAGGGCGTGGTCGTCTCAGCTCCTTGCCTTTGAGACGTTTATAAAAATAGGAATACATGACAAATAATTAAGTGATGGGAAAAAGACATTGTGCTCGCAAAGTGGGTTTCCAGACTGCGCATCAGCCGATCAGGTGATCGGCTGATCGGCTGGTCGGGTTCAAGGTTTAGAGGTTTAGGGTTTAGGGGTTTAGGGTTCATTAGGGTTTAGGGGTTTAGGGATGTTTAGGGTTTATTAGGGTTCAAAGGGGTCGAGGGTTTAGGGTTGATTGGCTGATCGGCTCATCGGCTCATCGGCTGATTGGCTGATGCACGGTTTTGGGCCCAAAAGCCACGCACACTTGGAAAAATAGAGAAAGAGAGAGAGGGATATATATATATATATACACACACATACATACACAGTATTTTTATACGCATGATGGATAGAATTCAACTGCCACTGACGCGATTGGCGGCCGAGCGTCTGCATAAGTTGCGCTCCAGGTCTTGCAAGAAGGTGATGGACAGCACTTCCCACAAAAGATGCTCGACGGCAGAAAGCTCAAACCTGCACACGGCATGCCCACCTAAAATCTTTAAATCCACCCGACGAGCCCGCGTTAGCTTTGTTGAGCAGTTTCGCGGGGCAGAGGTTGGTTGTTGCCCATGTGGTGGGACGCTTGCCCAGCGGCTGCGTTTTTGAAAGCACGGAGGGCAAAGGCCAACCACCCATGACGATGCTCCTGGGCAAGAAGGCCATTATTCCAGGGATGGAGCTGGGACTGAAAGAGCTGTCACTGGGCTCCATTGCTGAGATCCATATCCCTGCAGATTTGGGATATGGGGACAAGGGGGTGCCACACATCGTGCCACCGAGCAGCGACCTCCTTTTTGAAGTGCAAATACTGGAAGTCGATGGCACCCAGTCGGCCGCGCAGAGCTTGCAGAGTGCACTGCCGACGGCGGCGAAAGACGACTCGGCTTGCTTGAAGCTTCCTTGGTGGCTGGCTCGAGTGGAGTCTCTGCCACCCTCTCAGTACTATATCAACTTCTGTCGCGAGACTGCCGCTGGCCACGTGCCACCCTTGCTAGGGTCGGCGCGGAGCATTGCGCGAAGAACCAGCACCGAGTTCGACTGCTTCGATGTCGGGAAAGCCTCGGAGCCTTTCATCGTGGTGGACATGCAGGAAGGCTGGCCTGCACAAGACACATGGGACCTCTCGTGGCTGGCGGGAAAGTTGGGTCACACTCGCCAGCTCGTCAAGTGGCTTGGGCCCATCTTCACTCGCCAGGAAAATCTTTGGGAAGCGCCCGTATACGAAACTTCTCTCAGTGAGTATGCCGATTACGTTCGCGAGTTGGAGAGATTAGACCCAGATTGCAAAGACGAGAATGCAGCGAGCTGTCCCAGACTGTACTTGAACGGTTGGCCGGCCTTTGCTCAACTACCATGGCTTCGGAGTTATGTGGTTCCTGGGGGTGAGGGGATCGCGGATGCTGCCGCTTCAGCGGATATGATCCTGGAGGTGCCAGCTCCGTGCCACTGCCTTCTTGTTGTTTTTGGGGGATCGGGTGGGTGACATGAGGATCTGAACTCTTTGCTGATTCGAGAGTCGGAGGCCCTGCGAGAGGCCGGGAAGCCATGGCTTGGAGCAGCAGTATATGGTATAGTAGTACAGTATTATAGTAATAAAGTAATATAGTATGACATTGTATTCTGCTAGGCTCGATCTTATGTCTTTGTCTCGCTAGCTACAAAGACGCCCCGACGCTCAGTCGCTCCTGGAGGGGCTCACGGCTCGTGGCAGTTATCAGCCGCTCCTTGGCCTGCAAACTCCAGCTTGCCACGGGAGGGATGAGAAGAAACACCCGATGTCGGGTTTAAAATACCTTGAAAGGAAAGTCGACAATGTGATTTGTCTTCTCAAACGATATGAAAAGCGGCAAGAATTCAACATGAATTGACTAGCCGATTTCCTTGTAGAGCGATTGAGAGTTAAACCAACCATAATAATATCAAAACTTGCGGTGAAGCAAATGGGCGAGCTTTTTCAACCGGAACGGCATGAAGAAGGGTTGTCAGTGTTGTCTGAGCCGATGCTGAGGCCTGATGCAGAAGAGCAGAAGCAAAAGCTGCAGAATGAGGCGCGGGCTGAAAGATGTGGCAGGTGCAAGCCCTTCTTCAGCTTGTCGGCCTGGATCAACTCTGCTCCGGCAGGACTGGGACTTGACAAAAGTCTTCATTTCACCGAAGGGGGCCATCACGAGGTTGCACTTTGACAACGGTGGTGCGCATGCAGGGAGCCCAGAGCAAGCCTTCAGCCCGAAGCCTGGCAAATGACTTTATCTTGATGTTGAGGCCTGGCTTTCTCAGATGGAAGGCGAGCTCATGAACCGTTATTGGCATAGAGACCAGCGACTCCAGCTTTCTGCAGCTTGTTGCCAGGCCGAAAAATGTTTGTGCGCTGGACTAAGCGTGCAGTCACACTGGTTGGGCTCGGGGGCAGTCAGCATTCCTTGGTGAGAGTACTTGGACTGAGGTGCTTTCCACCTTCCGTTCGGCACATAGTGCGATGTTCCAATTTCTGGGTGTCAGCAGTTTTCAACAGTTTGAGAGGCATGCCTACTTTCTGTGCTTGCTGTTGGGTGCGTGCCTTCTCGTGCTCGAGAGCCTTCGATCATGAGCGGAGTAGACCGGAGAACTCAGAGCAAACAAAACGGCACGGAACAGCACTGCAGACAGCATCAGTGGACAGGACTTTTCTGAGGGACCCGTTGGAACCCGGCATTCAAGTGAAGCGATGGTATAGCAGCATGCAGTGCCGTTTGCTGCCCTTGCTGCGCCGTGGTCTTCCCATTTGGGCTTCCGCAAAGGGGCGTTTGAAGGTGCAGGGCGGCGCGGGCGCGGCCGATCAGCGTGCGCGGCATTTGTGGCTCCTCGGGGTCGGAGTGGCAGGAGCAGCCGTGAGCAGGCGGACGTCCCTCCTCCGTGCTCCGTTTCGGCTCTGCTTGCTTCGCTGCCTCGCTTTGTGATGCCATGTGTAGCCGCAGGCATGGCCTCCAACCTGTGGCTCTCCAAGCTCCCGTGCCTCAGTTGCCTTGTGGCCTCCCTTTTTTTTGGCGCTGCTGTCGGTCCTTGGCACTGTGGCACCTTAGGTCGATAGAGCCGAGCTCATCTACAAGATTCAGCAGGGTGACGTCGCTGCGGTCCTGAAAGCTCTGGCAGACGCCGTTGGCGGTATCGATGAGCCGTTGACCTCCATTGGTCAGACGGCTTTGCATATTGCATGTGCGGCTGGGACTCTGCCGCTAGTAATTGCTTTACTCAAAGCTGGGGCAAACGCAAGCGCCAGAGACAGGACAGGTGCGTCCTGTGTGGCTTTGGCAAGCACGGCAGGACACGCACATGTGCTGGAAAAGAAGCTCGCCTGCAAGCAGGCCGCCCAATACTGCGATGTTTGACCGAGAGGCCTACGTGCATGATGAAGTGCGGAGCGATAATCACACGACGTCCTCTGAGGCTGCTGGAAGTGGAGGACATCGCCCTTGAAACCTACGACGTGGCTGGGCTAACGCCCCTGCACAAGGCGGTTGGCTTTGGGCATCCTGGATGCCTGCGCCGTCTCCTCGAAAATGGAGGGATGGATCCCAACATCTGCACCGGTGAGGTGACAATCCCTGCTGAGTTTGAACCTGCCCCCTCCAGATACGAAACGGCGCTCCATGTCGCTTCCAGACTGTTGACCAGGGCCATCAACAGCCCAGACGGTGCAGGGTCCTCCGAGCAGCAGCAGGAACAGCAGCGAGAGATCATGCAGGCGGGTGCGTGGGAATGTCTCCGCTGCGTTTGGGGTGCGTGGGAATTTCGGGTGTGTTTCNNGTTTCGTGCAGCCTTGCTTCTTGGAAGTTGACTGATCGGCATAAGAATGTCAGTAACAATTACGATATAGAACTTGTAGAACTTTTAGAGCTTTTAGAATTCTTACAACTTTGGAAACTTCAGAACTAGAATTTTAGAACTTTCAGAACTTATAGAACTGTTAGAACTTTTAGAGCTTATGGAACTTTTAGAGCTTAGAGAACTTTTAGAACTTTTAGAACTTTCAGAACTTTCAGAACTTTCAGAACTTTTAGAACTTTTAGAACTTTTAGAACTTGTAGAACTTGTAGAACTTATGGAACTTTTAGAACTTTTAGAGCTTTTAGAACTTTTAGAACTTTGGAAACTTCAGAACTAGAATTTTTGAACTTTCAGAACTTATAGAACTTTTAGAACGTGTAGAGCTTATAGAACTTTTAGAGCTTATGGAACTTTTAGAGCTTAGAGAACTTTGAGAACTTTCAGAACATATAGAACTTTTTGAGCTTTTAGAACTTCTTAGAACTTATAGAACTTTTAGAGCTTTTAGTTTTTTTAGAACTTTTAGAACTTTCAGAACTTATAGAACTTTTAGAACTTGTAGAGCTTATAGAACTTTTAGAGCTTATGGAACTTTTAGAACTTTTAGAACTTTTGGAGCTTTTAGAGCTTAGAGAACTTTTAGAACTTTTAGAACTTTCAGAACTTTCAGAACTTTTAGAACTTTTAGAACTTTTAGAACTTGTAGAACTTGTAGAACTTATGGAACTTTTAGAACTTATGGAACTTTTCAGGCAGTCTTGCGGGGCCACGCACCGAGGCCCTGGTCATCCTGCTTTCAGCGTGCGGCCGAAGGCACTTAGGACTTTTAGGACTTTTAGAACTTTTAGAACTTTTAGAACTTTTAGAACTTGTAGAACTCTTCGAACTTTTAAAACTTATAGAACCTCTAGGACTTTTAGAACTTTCAGAACTTGTAGGACCTTTACAAGTTTTAGAACTTGTAGGACTTGTGGGACTTGTTGAAGTTGTATAACTTTTAGAACTTGTATAACTTGTTGAGGCTCTGGAACGCCCACGCGCCCCAAATGCAGCGAGCGCTTGTCCACACGCCCCAAATGCAACCAACCCTCATGCAGATCTTGGTGGACTATGGAGCAGATCCCACCGCCAAGGACATCAACGGTATGGTGCCCAGTGGACTCAAGCACCAACTGTGAACTGTTGCGAGTGTTAAGTTCCAAGGGTCGGACATGCTGAGGAGACACGCCTTTGCATTTCTGCGCTCGCAATGGCGATTCGTGGGGCCTGGCGCTTCTTCTGGGAAATACTGTGGAGCCAACCGAGGCATTGCGGATTCGCAACAAAGAGGGCCGGGATGTCTGGAACTACATAACATCTCCCCTCCTGAAGCTCCAAGTGGCCCTGAAGACGGCTTGGATCCTTGCGAGGATTTCACAGTCACTCAACGCTGCAGGTGCGGCTTGAATCTGAGGGCCAGGATGAAGAAACGTCTTGGTGTTCTCAGTTCTTTGGCTTTGTGAGCCACTGTACATAGGGCTGGTGGTCTCATCAGGCTGAGATCACAGCGATGAAATCCCAGCAATGACGATTGTTGCTTCAGGCAGCCGCAAAGCAGGTGAGAGAGCAACGGCTTCTGGAGCGTGTGGGTGTTTTACAAAGCACTTGATCAAGGATGGGGAGCACCTGCATCCATTCGAAGGCGATGAGGGTCTCATGAATGGCTCGTGGTCGCTCGGCATCCATTGCCTACATCGACCTACGTGTAATTGATGTGAAAGATAGCGGTGCGATAGCCCAGGCTGGATCCGTTAGACCCGGATGTCTTCGAGAAGTGGCCCGAATCTCTTGAATGTTTGCCATCATGTCATCATCCATGGAATTGATTGAAAGACTCGCCAGGACGTGCGACGCGCCACGCCGTACACGGCTGTGGTGGAGCGGGGTGAGACAATAGTGGCACCGAAAGGCTGGTGGCACTATGCCGTGTCACTAGACACTTCGGCTCAGAGCTCAGAATTGGAGCCTTGCAGGGGCATCCCTTTCTCCTGGCCCTCGGCTAAGGTGACGATTATGAGGAATTTCTACAGCACGAGCAACCAGTGGGACCTGACACCTCGTTGCATTGCGTGCCGCAACATTATTCAGCCTGTTTCCAGTGTAACTTGCAGAAACGACTCAGGATCCAGCGCAAGGATAGTGGCCTGGCAAGTGCTATTGCAACACATGCAAGGCGCTCAAGTTGGACGTTGTTTTCTGACCTACCGCATCCAGTAGACCTGTATAGCTAGGTGTTCCAAGCTTGGTGGCTACATTGAGGTTCTCCGGAAGCAGCCAAAGCTCAAGAATCAGCCCGACTCGGTCAACTTCTCGGCATCCTGCGTCTCAGCAGAGATGTGTGGGGGCTGCGGACCGGGCCTTCCTGTTTCAGGTCATAAACGATATCGCGACCAAGACGGTTCACAAGCTTCGTCCGCGACCCTGGTCGCCGGGGTCAACCCCACCGAATTTGTCAGCTAGAACTTGAGCTGACAAGGTGAAACCTTCATCGAGAATCGCCGGAAAGCGGCACAGCAACAATCCGGATACCTCAAATGACGAGGCTAAAGCCCCAGGCATCCTGGCAAGCCCAGGAGGGTTCCAATTAAGTTTCCTATCTGTTTCTCATGCCACACATCCACCAAGAAAAGGCTGCTTGTGGGTCTGAGAAATCACATGGCCCGCGAAGCTTTGCGTTTGGCGGTTTGTTTAGTTGTGCTCCGTGCATGCTCGCGCATCGATAACGGCTCAAGATGCGCAGAAAGATGGAAGATGGGTAGTGCCAAAAGTGCACGGCCCTCCCGGCTAACATGGTCGGTGCCTCAGTCTTCTGCGAAGCCTACCCGTCAGCATCACTTCCGGTTGCTTTGTGGCAGAAGTGCCATACCCGTCACACCAGATATGCTGCTTTCGCCTTCGCGGAGCTATGCACGTTCACTGAGAGATTGAAGCCTAAACCAAACCGCACTCGCCACTCCCGTATTGATGTAGTCGAGTAGTGAAGTCACATGGGCGGGACTGGGGACGGTGGAAAGGTAGTACAGGGAAGGTTTGCCAGGAAATGCCCAACTTGCCATTCCTGGAAGTTTAATGTCATTTCACTGTCGGGCATTGGTCCGGGACTCTGTGCCGTGCAGGCCGCTTCCGTGCATCGGGCCATGAGCATGGCCTTTCTGGCCGCCAAAGCGCAGGCCATGGCCTTCGAGGTCAGTTTCGTGTGCCCAGGGAGCAGCTAATATCGATGGTTCTGGTGAGTTTAGGGTGATGCATGGCTCTCTCTGAGACTCTGAGGTGCAATGTTCCAGCGTCCTATTCCAGAGAGAGCATGAAGAGATTGATTCGGCTAAACTGTGACAAGGCAGGGCCAAGGCTGCACTGTAATGAAGTAATGGAGTAGAGTAGACTAGACTGGTATAGTTTAGTCCAGCAAAGGAATATAATTAGGTATTATTGTACTGATATAGTATTCTGAAGATTGCGAGGGCCTGAAAAGAGAAGCACTGGCGGAAGTGGCCGTGGCGAGTGTTGCGAAACATTTCCCGAGGTGAACAGATCTGTCAACGATTTTGAAGCGTTGGGGGCGGAAGAATCAGAACTGGACACAGGTGGGCTTGCATTTTTGCAGCTTGAGAGTGCGTGCTGATGCAGGATGGCAGTGAATGCCGTGGTCATGATCACGCCTCCCCCACGTGTCACCAGTTGCAGGATTGAGGATGATCTTGGGCGACCAATACGACATAGACAACCTGTGCCCTGACAATACTTAAGCTCGCGACTTTCCATTGACATGTGGTAGATGCTGTGCCCCCTTCAAGGCAGTGGTTAGAGAAAGGCTCCTTGGCCACAGAGGCTTGTGAAAATGCGACGACGTTGCTTGTCTCAATCGGGAACGGCCGCATGGCCACTCCAAAGCAAGCGTTCGCCCAGTTAATCTTGCAAACTGGGAGAATATGAACTTGTGCGGCTTCTTCCGGGCATGTCGGCCTATGTGGGGCTGAGGCTATTGGCAGAGACGGAAGCCATTGCATGGAGGTTGGCAGAGAACGAGACTGCTTCAAGGTTTATGGAAGCGACCAACCTGGCAGTCAACGCGCGGCTTGCTCTAAGCCTTTAGCGCCGCCATTCGGTGGGTGCATTTGGTATGGTGATGTATTGCGGCAGTGGTGACGCACACGCGCACGCACGCGCGCGCGCGCGCGCGCCCCCGCGCACGCACGCACACGCACGCAC